TTGTCCCTCAAAGCAGTTTTTCAATAAGAATTTGTGACTTCAACGGTATACCAGGTATAACTGCAGTTCTAGGCTTTCCATACTGTTCATTCTTTTCAAGAGAATCCCGAATTTGGAAGCGCGACTCGGGTTTTAAAGGGATGTAGTATAAAACCTCTGAAAGTTCGAGCGCCCAAAATAATTTTCAATACACTTCAAACTATCTGAGGGCTATGAGAAGACGAAGAAGTTCTGATTAGTAGTTAATCTTCTGCCTAATAATGCAAAACCCCAATTAATATGCTGGCGAGCTAAATGGCACATTCTAAAATTCTATATAAATTAGCTCTTAATAACATTTCTGTAAGCCGTGCTAGCCATAGATATTATGGAACTTGCTTATAATTATTGGGGTGTTACAAATGTTTTAAATGCACAAAGAAGGAAATTTTAAGGTGGCACCCACCATTGGGTGCCATTGTCCCACGCGGCGAACATAGTGGCACCCACCGGTGGGTGCCATTGTCGTCAAAGGGTTAAAGCGTGCGTGATACTTTCCTTTTCCAGATCGAGCACCATCTCTTCCCAACAATGCCCCGATGCAATCTGAACACATGTATGAGACTGGTCAAGGAATTCTGCCGCGAAAACAACCTGCCGTATCTAGTCAACGACTACTTCGAGGGCTACGCCTTGAACCTTAAACAACTCGAAAACATCGCTCGCCTTTCCAGGACCAAAGCCAACTGACTAAGTAGCACTCCCCATTTACGGCTTCTTCAAAAGGGTTCATTTAATAGCATCCTTGTTGTTATCCACTTTCTTCCACGTTTTTCATGCAGCTCTTTGTCGTGTTCCCCTAGCGTGTGAGTTTTTGCTCATAGACGCTCGCTTGGGGCTGACATTGTGAGGAGATTGACCGGCAATGTGTCGGATGTTCAGTGATATTTGGTTGAAAAATAATAAAGCTCCAAGCTGAAAGCGGTTCTTAACGATTTAGTTACATGTATATCTCGATAGTTCGCAAAAAATTAAATAAGTAAGGTATCACGTGAGTGCGGGACCGCTTCGACGTCTACTACGGCTAGTCTGTGCAAATTCTGTAGACGATTTTTTATTCACCCTCATAATCTTTCATACTCACTCTATGAAGAAGGTTGTTGTGTTTCGTTCACCTCCCCGTCCGTTTGTCGTCGTTGTTATCGAAGTTCAAAAAAAGCTGGACTGAGACAGGTGGTGTATTATCCTTGAGGAATATGAAACATTAGCTAATACAGGGTATTAGCCAGAACGAAAGGTAGAGACCGGACGAGATGGGCATGCAATTCCTCATTTG